CCCCAAAACCCCAAAACCCCAAAACCCCTATAATATTTAAGTTTGTTGAAACTCTGTTATTATTGTGTCCACACTTGGGACTCATCTTCGTCGTAATAAAGGTAAGCCTTGCTTGGTCTTGTAATGCAGGTCTCCGCGAGATAAATTTGTGTCACTGCAAAGCTGACTTCTCCTGGCTGGAGAGTTCTCCAGTACAAAATGATATCAGAGTTTCCATTCGAGACTTCAAAGTAAGAAACCTTGTTCTGGTTTTGGAGTCTCTCCAATGAGTTGTAGTCTACTTGTTGACAACTGGGGACTCTGACAATGACTACAGCCATGCCTTGTCCATTATCCCTATCCATGTTCTCAAGTCTGACTTGATAAGTGGTGAAATCTCCGATCTCAGTTTCTTGAGAGTTTGTGGAAGATTTGATCGAGAAGTTCAGAACAGACTTTGGGTTTGATAGAGGTGCCAAGTCGTTAAATTTTTCTTGAATAAAGTACAGAAATTTGAGTTTCTTCATGCTTTCAGAGTAATCCTTCAACAATAATTTTATCGTGTGATAAGAATTGCTACTGAATAGAGTTAGGTTATGCTGAATATAATTTGATAGAGCTTCATTGAAATCTAGAGTTGAAACTTTGGTATCTTTGTTAAGGTATAAGCTTTGAATATTCTGTCCATCCACAAATAATTCATAAGTGCCTGTTGCACCAAGTTTCGAACTTTTCATGTACTCAACCAACACTTGGAGTGAAAGAATAGTACCTTGAGTTGAGCCATAACTTCCATCGATTCCATTTTCAATAATGAACTTGATTGCTAAGTCTATTTGATCAATAAAGTCTGAAGACTCATCTTTGAGCCAGGCAAGAATCGCTAATGCAGTTGTTTCAATGTTGAGACTTTTGCCTGTTGAGCGTGTGATGCTAGACTTTTTCTGGTTCATAATGCCAGTTGTTTTGTTTTGATTTTGTTTCAAAAGTGTTGAGAATTTTCTAGCTTCTTCAGTTCTTCCGATGTTGTACAGAATATTAGCCATCAGAGCATATAAGTATGAATCTTTGTGTGTCTTTGCACGAATAATAGTGCTGTTGATTTCTCTGTCAAGATCAATGTCTGTTCCAATACTGGTCAAAGCATACCAAATGTAAGCATCAGAAAGGTTAGGAGGGGGATATGCAAATGAGTCAGCTCCACCTTGCCGAGACACAAATGAGCCACTACCGTTTCTTTTATTAAGAATCCATTTAGATGTTCTATCAACCATCTCTGTATCAACTTCGCTAAAGACTTGTTTCATGTCGTTGAATTGCATGAGCGCGTAAGCTGTGAGAGCTTCGTGGCCTGGTGAATCTCAGAACCATTCATAACCTCCTGTTTCAGTCTCAAAACTGACGAGTCTTTGGTAGCCTGGTCGGAGTTTTTGCTTGATCTCAAGGATCATTTGAGTGGCTCTGCTGTCTTTCTCAGGTAGAGATTCAAGCACTTTCAGAGCCATCACAAGTGGATATGTAGTTGATGAAGTTTGCTCGAAACACCCGTGAGGGTTTCTGATGAGACTCTCTAGAGAATCTAAGATGTTTCCAAGTTTATTGATGTATAGCTTTGTTTCTAGCTGCAAAGATCCAGATTCATATGTTATTGGTAACTTGAAGCTTAGCTCAGATTCAGATGCAAATCCGTCATTTGTTGAACCTAAGAAGCCACTCTGGGATTCAATTTTTGGGAAACCTCTTGCAATTATTTTGGTAGTGGATGTAAAACTGTCAGATGCTTGTTTGCCAGCTTTTGCATTGATCTTAACTTGGAAGTATTCATCTGACACAGATTTTGCTTTGAATGTGACTATTACTGTCTTTTGTGAATGATTTAGAACTGAAATTTTGTTTTTAGACAAAGAATATTCTAGTGAGGTTGTCTTCGGAAATGTTGATACTGACAAGTCAACTTTTAAATCAATAGCTTTACTATTATGGATTACCACAGGGACTTTGATTTCATCAAAGTTTGTGAAATACATTGGAATATTAACCTGAATATGAAATTCATTAAACACATTGAGATAAGACTGATGATGACCATAAACCCCATCTTTCGTAACAGAGTTGGCTTCAAACCTAAACTTCGACACAAGTTCTCCAAGTCTAAAAGTTCCTTTAAACTGCCCATTCTTCACTCTCACAAACTCTTTAAACACCTGTGTCTGCTTAAAATCAACTCTTTCAGCCCCTTGGTCTTCAACCTCCTCCATAAACCTTTCTTCCTCTTCCTTTTTTTTCTTTCTCTATATTCTCCTCATTCTCCTCATTCTCCTCTTCATCTCTCTCTTCCACCTCATCTCCCTCTACATATTCCCCCTCCATCTCTTCTTCACCATCATAGTACTTTTCTATCCCTCCCCAAAGTCCAGACTCATCACACCTTATATCCGAGTCAGGCAAATATCACTCAGCATCTACCCAATCACCATAATTCCCAATTTCCTCTATTCCAAGAGTCCCCATAGCCTCGCCTATATCTCCTTCTCTGACTCTTTCATAACCAGTGAATATATTAGAAGATCTAATTTTGGAAAGATATAGATTGCTCAAATCATAATCTAAAATTTGGTCATGCCCTTGGTCTAGATCAAACTGAATTCGAGGATCTAGTTTGAACAGTCTCCACTTCTGAGTGCCTATGAGAAGTTCCAACTTCTCTTTGGCTTCCTTATCTCCTGAAGTATCTTGGTTGTAAAGATACTCCAAGTATTTCATTGGTATTCAGAAACTCATATTCTTTGGTAATGTTGACTTCTTTCTGAAGATACACAGAAGATACCAGCGAAGGCGGCTGTCTCTTGCTTTCGATCTCAAGGAATGGAGTCAGGTCGGTCACACTCAGGTCGATATAGACATCGTCAGAGACCTGTTCCCCAGTTGTGGAGTTGTAAACAGTAACAGTGTAGTTGACTTCATCACCTGTCGAGTACAGCTCTTTGTCAGTTTGCACTTTGACTTGCAAAGTCTGGCTTGGAACCACGAAAGCAAGAGCCTCTGCAACTATTAAGTATGGGAAGTTCTCCAACAGAACTGAATTTTCAGCAGGATGTTGAGGTTCATAAATGTTAACAGAGATAACTCCTCCATTTGGAAGTCCCAGCTTTGAGACAGGAACTCTGATTTTAAGCTCAGATTTGTTTACTGATACTTTTTGTGTGTGGAGTAAAACATTCTTACTTGATATTGACAGAATGAGATCTGCAGTTAGGCTTGGTTCAGCATTTTGGAAGCTGATATCTAAGAATTCATCACTGTCTAGCACAGAGTTTTCAAGAGTTATTTCAACCTTCGACTTTGTTTGGAGCTTTGATATTTGAAATTTTGATTGAACTTATCAGGATCCAACATATGGTGGACTCCTCTGTAGTTCAGATAATAAACTGTATCTTGTTCAGCAAAAAGTTCAAAGTCTCCTCTTCCATGATACTTTGAAGAGACCAAAGAGACAACTACTTTTTCGTTTTCTCCGTCTTTAGGTACTTTGTAAATGTTAGCGTTCATGATGTCAACATGTTCAGATCTGCTGTCGTCTGAGAATGCTTCAAAATAAACTTTCTGGCAAGTTCTGAACACAAAGGGGCCACCTTGCACCGTAAACTCGATCAGCACAGTGTCTTGCTGGGTGATGGTAAGTATGTCCATCTTGGTGGATACTTGCTCTCCAATTCTGAGAGTGAAGCTCACAAAGAAAGATGACTCATACCAAGTATCAGGAATTTTTAAATACAAAATATCCAGATCCGTCTTCACCAATAGGAATGGCTTCCTTTGATGCTTCGATGAGGTTGACATCAAAGCTGGAGCCAGATGGAACCTTGTTTCCATCAAGACTTCTGACTGTGAGCTTGCCTTCAACAGTTTGGCCGGGACTGTAGCTTTCTTGAGAATAATTTAAAGATACGAGTGCTTTCTGATGGTACTTTCTGACTCTGAACTTGACTATCGAGTCTGGAGCATTATAAGAGCTAGCTTTTAAATATTAAACTCCTCCAGCCATATCTTCGGGTATCTTGTAGCTGAAATATTCTCCAAGATCGTCACAGCGTCTTTTAAGCAAATCTTCTTGCGAAAAGATGACTTTTTGGTTGGAATCAATTATTTCATATCTTAGATAATATAAGTCTCAGTTAACTGAAGATTTATCAGTGTGGTTAAACCTATAAGCTCTGGCTTCAAGAGTATCACCTGGCATATAAACTGGCTTGTCGATTGTTAAAGAGACAAGAGGATAATCTTGAGTAAATTTTACCCAATATTGTTCTGAGAATCTAAATTGTTCATGATATTCAGAAAATAAATCGGCATTAAAGAATCTTTCTGTTGAGTTTTCTTCAGATCTGATATCATTATACATATTATCCTTAGTAATGTCACTAGCGATTTCTATTCCTTCTTGTTCTATACGAAATTAATAAATCAGTTCACTTGTGCCCACTTCTGAGAGTTCATGGGTTAACCCAATCTCTTACCTTGAGTGTGCTCAGTCTTGCTTAGACTCAAGAGTAAGAATACTATGAGTATTATGCAAAGGATCTTCAGTCTCATTTAAGACAAATATTACTTACAATTATCAATCCGAGGCTTAACACATTAGACAAAGTAAATGGAAGCTACTCAAGATGCTTACAGCTTGGGACTGCTTCAGAAGAGTGTAGCTAGAGATTCAAGATCTCTTGCCTAAAATTAGCTTTTCTAAAATTAATTTTCCCAAATCTCAGAGTGTTTCAACTAGGGTGCAACTTAATGGGGTTTTGGGGTTTTGGGGTTTTGGGG